ATACATCCACTGCTGTGTCAACGCTGTGTCAGTGAATGGACAAAAATGGCCGAAACCTCGCGCATAGAGTGCAACACAACACTACTCACAACACTATGATTCACACAACACTATATCAATGCAAAAGACTATCCAAAAGCACTTTCAAAGCCACAGCCCTTTTCCGTCACTCAATCCCATTACTATTTCACCCGCTATTCATGTCCCCTACAGCCCCTTGTAATGTACTGCTATAGCAAAGCCCATATAATCTCTGCAAATAAATGTTACGCTATTTGTAAGAGCGATAAGTGAATGGTGTTGTGACCAATCATTTCAAAGCTATCTATTGGAGCGCTTTATATGAATTTGTAATTAAATCAGAAAACATTCAATAAATTGAATACAGATTTAGGTGAAGAGCTCGATGGCAGTGATTATGTAAATGGCATTTGGTTTATGTGACATCAGATCCAATCAATCCATTCATGTGATTATGATAACACTAATTAAAACTTATTGCTAGTATTTTAGCCATCATTAGAATTATCACCAATTCATGCACTTGTATTAATACTACTGTATTAGTCTAATAAGAGTTAAATTGTATCCATGGTCATTCCTTTTTACCCATTAATTAACATTATATAGATTAATTGAAATTAAGTGTTAAAGTTTGCATAAAACATTAATATTAATTAAAGTGTATACTTTGTAAAAGTTTGCAAACTTTAAAGTGAGCACAATTTATAATTTAAGGTATATTTCAATTGAATTGCATAAAAATGTTGTATTGATCTTGATCAAAAAACTAATAGAAAACTGTACTTGTTAACTGTTCTAATCGTATCATAAGTACTGAAAACTTGAATGAAACTCAATAAATAAAAAGTTTTGAGAAGTGAATCCATAAATAATGCAATACTTTATGAACGAACCGATTGTAAAATGAATGCATTTTTGATGCAATCTTTCAAAAAGTGATAACAATTTGTGTGAAAAGTAAACAAACCATTGATTCAAAGAGTTTCCAATCGGTTGTGATTACATCTGCACTCATATAACACTCACAATCAGTGAGACACCACTGATCCGGACAGCCGTGTGATCGTCGTGTGAGTGGTGTTGAGGTGAGTGGATGTGATTGGATGAGTGGTGGTGGCGATGGGTGACCAGCAGTTCCACGGCGGCGGACACCAGCAGTCGGGTCAACAACACGTGTCTTCACTCTATGCTCTTCAGCCGCAGTGCTATTCCACGCCTTATGTGAGCCAACAGTCCAGCGATACAGTAATCCAATTGCGATCACTTCAGGATCAGCTGAACTCACTTCAGCAACAGAGGGATCAGTTGCAGAAAGAACTGAACGCCGAGAAGCAGAAAGTGATGCAAATGTCTCAACAACTGTCAGCTCAGCAACAGTTGAGTCTTCAGATGCAACAGCAATACGACCAACAGTTGAGAGCTCTTCAGTTCGAGTTATCGAAATACAAGACACCGCAGACATCACACGAAGCCATCATTCAGACCACACATCAGTCACTGTTCCCAACGATGGGTAAAGCCGTGAGAGGGGCGGGCGATGAGCACACGTGCGACTCGTGTCAGTTCCGGACCAAATCGCAGGTCTCTCTACTGCTGCACAAAGTGAATCACGGACTCACCCAAAAGCACCTCCAGTTGCCCACAACTATCTTCACCACCAAAAACAACAACAACTCATTCCTCTACAGATGTCCCGCTTGTGAGGGAAAGTTCACTCGACATGAGGTCTATTCACACATCTATCAGGTATTCATTGATTGCTGTACTCATGGATTGAGTGATGTATTGATGTGTTTGTCTGTACGGATCAGTTCCACACCAGCGAACAGCCCCATCACTGCACAGAATGTGATCTATTCTTCACTCATTTCGATTACCTAACGGAACACCAAAGAGATAAACATAACAACAAATCCAAGAAACGAAACGTTCCGCAGAAGACGGCAAACAAATACTCCAATAAGAAGAGTAAGAACAGTGCTCTCGTCTCTTCACCCGGTTCTTCGTCCGCTTGGAACTCATTGGAGACAATCATTTCGTCCACAATCGGCACTTTCGATGAGACCACGAATGCCATCGCAAGCATTGCTGATCCAAACGCGCAAATATTGACAGTAAACCGGATGCAGACAACAGTGAATCCAATAGTTCCCAAACCGGCGCCCATTCCGGTCGAGAAATCTGACGGTGAATTCAAATGTACTTTCAGTGACTGTGGGTTCGCCACCAATACGAAGGAAAGACTCGATTTTCACTTGAGTGCACACAAGAACTCCAAATACAAATGTCCTCACTGCCCCTATGTAAGTCCCCTGGGGCCCCCTATGTAAGGGGGGAGGTCCCGAACCCCCATTTTTATTACTTTTATTACCGTATATTTACAAAGTCTTTAAAGTATATTAACCATGTTAAATTATACGCTTACAGGTGGGGAACGTATTGGTTGACATTCGCAGACACATCCAGAAAAGTCAGAAACATCAGGGCTTTCATGTGTTTCAGTGCCAGAAATGCGACTACGGATCCAATTGCGAGAAGACCTTCAAAGACCACTTGAGACAAATCCATTTCGGCAAAGAAGTGACCGACAAAATGATCAATTCGTTCATTGAAGACATGTTCTCCAATGAAAGCGGAAAACATAAACCGGATGCAGACAACAGTGAATCCAATAGTTCCCAAACCGGCGCCCATTCCGGTCGAGAAATCTGACGGTGAATTCAAATGTACTTTCAGTGACTGTGGGTTCGCCACCAATACGAAGGAAAGGCTCGACTTTCACTTGAGTGCACACAAGAACTCCAAATACAAATGTCCTCATTGCCCCTATGTAAGTGCATTTTTGCCATTTTTTATCTTATATTATCTTATTTTATGGTAAACTCGAAGAATATGTTGAGAGGAAAGTGTTAGGAATGTGATTTGTGGTTTGTATGAAATGCAGATAAAACTCAATGAAACTCAGGAGTTAGTGTCTGAACCGTAGTGATCCAATTAGTGCCACAACTGGTTAAATTTTTAAAATGTTACTACCTTTCTCAATGATCTCAAACATATTTAGTCTTGAACATTACGGTTAACAATGTTAAATTATACGCTTACAGGTGGGGAACGTATTGGTTGACATTCGCAGACACATCCAGAAAAGTCAGAAACATCAGGGCTTTCATGTGTTTCAGTGCCAGAAGTGTGACTACGGATCCAATTGCGAGAAGACCTTCAAAGACCACTTGAGACAAATCCATTTCGGCAAAGAAGTGACCGACAAAATGATCAATTCGTTCATTGAAGACATGTTCTCCAATGAAAGCGGAAAACTTGCCGTTCAATAGTGTCTAACCATTTGTCATATCATACCCTCATATGAAGTGCGGTATAAATCGTTAGCAAATATGAACACTAATTTCATATGTGATTACCATAATTGCATCAATTATCATATTATTTTAAAAATAAAGTTTTTTATCGCAATTACAATAACTTGTTGTAAATTAAGTTACTGTAAAACATTGTAATAATATAATTATCAGTCATTTATAGGTTCATAAATATTATTGTAATAAAATTCATGTAAATCAAAATAATGTTATATAAAGTTAATATAATGCTTTAAATTGATATTTGATTGCTTTTACAATTCATAATTTAATTCAATTCCCATTTAAATTAGATTTGATTGTACGAAAGGGGTGCTGAAACACACCCACAATCAAGTGTAACGTTATATACGAACATGACTTGAGAGCAGGCAATGGCAGTATTGAAGACATCAATCGATTCGAGTCCTCGTTATCGTTGTCTTCACTTCCATCTGATTGCAGACATTCATTGACACAAACACTTCAGTCGACATCAACATCGTTGACCTGAATAGCGAGTGGTTGGCCGAGGATTGGGAGGGAGTGTATGCGATGGGAGACCACTCTCATTATCTCCAGCCGCAGAACCTGATGTACAACGGATACCTCCAACTCAGCGGTTCCGCACAACAGACCACTCAAAACAACACATCCATCGTTCAGATGAGGACTTTGAGGGAACAGTTGAATCAGACGAATGCCGAGAAGGATCAGCTCCAGAAGGAGTTGAACGTCGAGAGGCAACAGAAGCTCCAGTTGCAGCAGGAGTTCCAGAAAGCAGTTCAGACACAACAAGAGCTCAACTATCAGTGCATGACTTTACGGCTCGAAGTCGCCAAATATCAGCAACACCTGCAGAACCTGCAGCAGTCAGGTCTGGCACAGCAGCCGTCGCCACAACAGATCCAACACACCATCAAAACAGAGGACGTGAAGCCCGATGTGAACCATATCTGCGATGAGTGTCAGTTTGAGACCAAATCACAGATATCTCTGTTTGTGCACAAACTTAACCACACATTGGGCTCAACGACACCACGACATCTCCATCTGCCCACTCGTGTCTTCACCACCAAATCCGAAGGCAACACCTCTTTCACATACAAGTGTCCCACTTGTGAAGAGTTGCCACCGTTTTCCAGACACGAGATCTATCCGCACATCTATCAGTTCCACTCCTCAGAACAGCCCCACAAGTGTCCCATTTGTTTGCTATACTTCACTCATTCAGACTATTTAACTGAACATAAATTGGATAAACACAAGATGGCTGTGGCCGACACTCCCAGCAGTAGCTCTGGTCGTGGCAGAGGTCGAGGCGGAAGGGCGTCGAACCAGTCGTCGCGAAACAACAGGAATACTCCCAAACTTCCAGTAGAGATGGTCTCCAAGCAGTCGGTCATTCAGACGCCGTACGGACCCGTCAAGGCTGAGGTGACCGACACATCCACTGCACCGACACCACAGACACAGACCCACACCACTGCCAACACGAACGCTGTGGGAGCGACGCCTAAACGCAAAGCGGACGACGATATTATATGCCTTTCCGACACTCCCGTCAAACAAATGGCTGTCCATAAGACGACAACCATAACAGTGGCCAAAGAGGACGATGAGTTGAACTGTACTTATCCGGGCTGTGGCTTCACAGCGCCGAGTCGTGATCGCCTCCAGTTCCACATGAGTGCCCACACCATGTCTAAATACAAATGTCCATATTGCGCTTATGTAATAACAGGGGGGACGGAGGCTACGGCTACCTGAACCCCCTTTTTACTTTTTTTTACTTTTATTATATTTTCAAAATTTCAAAGAATGTGTGAGAAATGGAAGTGATTTGTGGTCTGAAAGAGTCATTTCAATTAGAGTTTGAATGAAATGCAGATCAAACTCATTGAAAACCCATCAGAAAATAGTGTCTTAAGTTCAGACTTTGAACAGCAATCTATCCATTAGTGCCACAAATAAATAACTGATTTCCGGGGGGGGCTGTTCTGAGGAGTGGAACTGATAGATGTGCGGATAGATCTCGTG